CAGGCCTTAATTTTCTCATTACCTGCTTTTCATAAGCCAGGCACAAATAATTGGATCTGTGTATTGAGCTGAAATTATTGGACTTTAAAATATGTCAACTCCAAATGAGAAGAAAGAGAATAAATTCCCCTCTGTCTTGGTTTGGACTCCCCAGGGGCAGAGTTGAATCCTGTAGTGATTCAAGTGCACATAGTGTAATTTGACAGAAAGGAAAGTGGTGAAACAAACACACGTAGGGATAAGAGAAGTAAGACAAAGAGAGGAAGAAAGCTGGTAAAAGGTTGAGCTCTCAAGCCAGTTACTATGGTAGGTGACTAAAACATATTCCCACATGGCCCTCCAGAATCCTGTGAAAAGCATATGCCTCTGGGTCTCCCAAGGGGCAAGAGTTAGGGTATTTTTATACCGATTCTCCTGAGGTACTCCTGCAAGAATCCCCACAGCCAATCACAGCCTCTTGGATGGATTCCTTTTAACCAGAAGCATTTCACCTGGCATCTAGTTTTCTCTTAAAATTTCAGTTTCTCAAGGATTGCGAAAGAATAGCCCCAGGATACTCTCAAATAATGCTGCTAACCATTAATCAGATAGGCAAGCCCTAGTGGAAAGAATTCCTCCAATCCTTATATCTTCCCATATATGGATGATTTATTTTATAGCAATCCACTTAMTGAGAACTTGGACCTCATTCAACTCACACCAGCCCACATCAGAATTGGCCAGTCATTTAAAAGTCTAAATAATTCTGATTTCTTCTGCAATAGTTTCTAGAAAACACAATTTCTATTCTGAAAGAGGATGGGAGTAATTGAGTGAAATTTAATTCAACCAAAATACATTTACATGTTTATGTTTGCTGTATCTTGATGCCATATAAAGCAATATATAGCCTTAAGGTCTTCCCTGCCTTAAAAACTTATAAGAGTTGACACAAAAAACTATAAAATGTACAAAAATACTATAAATCAAGATATGTTATAATTACTAAAAGTATAAATTGTGCTCTATAGCACCAAGGAGCAAGAAATCAGTTCCAACCAGGTGAACATGAAAGAAATTTTATGGAAAAATGAATTGGAATTGTGCCTAAGCCAAATCAGTTCCTCTCCAAAACCACAAGCTCTCCATCCCTGGTCAAGACCACAGCATCAGCCACACACACACACACTCCGTGAGCAGACTCAGAGGATTCCTCTGGTTTCCACTGTGTGTTTGGAATACCCCTGACTGTGGTCAGTGTCCTGGATTCCCTTGCTGGCCTTTGCCCTGATGAATGCCCACCTGCCAGCCTTTAGCTTTAGGGGCTCCCTGCACACTGTCTCTCAAAGCAGCCACCTCACTTCTTCTCCCTGAGGGCCGGGGACACAGAGCTCAGCCTGGTTCTCAGGTCTTCAGACTTTGATCTGGCCCAGGTTTTCCATCTGCTTGAGAGGAGCCAATAAACATTGGACAAGGATGGTCCCTGAATAACTAAAAAGTCAGTAGATGGGAAGCCAGCAGACTTTACAAGAAGGTCCAGAGAAGGACTGGCTCTCCAGGGCATGAAGGATCAGGTCCTAGAACATACAGGGTGTCTCTCCTATATCCAGTCTCCTGGCTACTCTTTGAGCATTATTACTCACCATTGGTTTACTTACAAATACCTCCAGGGCTCCTCAACAAATGCTCCAGAAAGATTGTGATCCTCATTCTTCTAATGTACTTTAATTTATGCCTCATGCTTCTCTGCTGGTTGCTAATCACTGCCTAGAATATCCTTCTGATTCTCTTTCCCATCTGCTATAAGCTCCTATTCTCCAATATTTCTATCCAACCTTTCAACAACTCTCCAAATACCTCCTCTCTGAAGCCTTCTCTTCCCAGCATCCTCTAATCTTAGGCAAAGCTGAGTCCTCATTGCTTTGTTACTGATGTACTGTAACCATGATTTTGGTAATTGTTGGTTGACTAGACAAGTCAACAGACAGTACCTCTTCCTGCACTATGAGATTCTCTAGTGAAGAGAGCGTGTCTTACCATTTCCTTGTGTACCTTCCTTTCATATTGTGCAGTGTCTGGCCCAGAGCAGCGGGGACAATAGGCATGACCAAGGCAGAGATATTGGCAAAGACAATGGAAATGAGTTTGTCCACACTGGATGAGGCGGATATCTGGGGCACATGTGTACTCAGGTTATTAGGTTGGAAGCAGAGCAACTGGTAGCAGATCCTTTCATCATTTTTCATTTGGACAAGTGACCAGGGTTAAGGACAAAGAACTTGAAAGCTCCCAAATTTATCTAACCTAGGGATCCAAGTGGCCTCCAGTGATATAATGCATGATATATGGCACTGTCAATTTCTTTTGATTGATCAATCTATCCCATACGAGAGTGGGGTTTAAAAAAAAAGACCTTGATTTTATCTGAATATGACTATGGTTTATGTTTAAGACATCAACTCTCATATCTTTCATTAGTTGTTCATAAGACCTAGGACACAATGGGCACTAATATTTAAAAAAAAATGGTAGTGGAGGAATAAGGCAAGGTCAATGCTAGGAACCTTTCACATTTTATTAGAAGTGTAGTAATTTTTAAATGATTGGTATCATAGATGCATTGATGTAAGAATGCTTAGAATCCTTTGAGTTCTTCAGGGACACCATTTAAGCATTAGACACTAACTTTACTTTTACAAATAATGAAAAGTGAAGCAGGTTTCCCTAAAGTAATATATCTTCAATTAATTCCTGATAAGTGATTCTGAAGGTGATTAGAGGAAACAGGCATACCCTAGGGTAGCTGATAACCTCCAAGATCATATGTACTTGCACATCTCAGTTTGCATAGGTGTTTCTCAGATATTTTGATACCCTTGGGGACAGTCCTCCTCCACTGAGAGTCACCATCATAGAAGCCTTTCTTACTCATGAATGAGGATATGGTGGTAGAATTGAGATTGAAAAGTGTGTGCTCATAATTGAAACCCAGAATGGAAATGTGCAAAGAGAGAAAAAACATAAAGGGAAAGAGAAAGAAATGAAGATAGCCAGACCGTTTAGAAGAAAAACAGTTCCCTTTAAATAGAAAAATAGCCACAGGATATTGTCAAATAATGCTGCTTGTTATGTCCATATTTTGACAAATGGGACCACTTTGTGCCGCCTGTCCAAACAGCCCGATCTGGATCCAAGCCCTGGCTTGAGAAATGGAACCCTCACTGTAACAACAGGTCTCCTATCACATCGATCTTGTTGATGTTGGAGCAGATTAAAGCAGATGTTTCCTGTCAAACTGTGGTTCTCTCCCCAAAGAGCACATTAGCATCCTCAATCTCTTCTAGCCACACATTAAGACCAAGGGCCTCCATGCAACTGAATTCCCCTTAACCTGTCTGTTCTGTTCGTTTGGTCAGTTATGTCAGTTATCCCCCAGACAGCTCAACTTGCTCTGGAATACCGTGTTCCTCTGAAAATGGAATATGGACAGAGTTCAATAGAGAAGGAAGCTATTAAGAAAAGGCCCCTGGAGCCAAATGGAGGAAGTACAGCCTCAGACATGTGGCTGCCATGATCAGCTGAGCACTGATGGCTTAAACATACTTAGCACTTGTGGTGGGGGAGGCGACGGGCCACCAGCACAAGATCCAGAGCTTTCAGTGGAAATGATCCATGGACAGAGGGTGATTTTATCAACCAGGGAAATATCAGGCACTTGTGGAAAAAATCTAGCAACTCTTCACACCTTTCCTTTTTTAGGAAGCAAGGGACACTGAGTAAGGAGAATGTAGGAAATGTGAGAATGTAATATATACCAGAATCAGATTCGAAATATCTTGTAAATTTCATGACTCTCAACTCAGGTACCAAGAGGCATATTATGTGTACAATTCACTTCCAGTTGATTTACATACAGCATTTTCTTTGGTAAATAAGTCAACAAAAAGAAATGATTAGATGGAGAAAAAACAAGGCTGACTACATGAACTATTAATAATAATAATAAGAAGAAGAAGAATAGCAGCTAGTATTCATTGCTTCTTCTCTGCTGATCACTTCACATTTACTACCCCATTCAAATCGCACAACAACCTCACAGGTTAAGCTCTTGATCTTCATTTGACAGATGAGAAAACTGGCACGGAATGATGAGGTAATGGTAGATCTCAAACTTGAACTTGGATCCTGTGAAACTAAAGCAGGGGCTCTCTGACGTTACTCCTGTAGCACTTGGTTATTCACAATTCACAAATTGCTTTAGGATGTTTTCTCTCTTCCTGATTTGACTAATCCCTACTACCATACATAGCAACTACCACAGTCAAAACACTATACTTAGACTAAGAAGAGGAAAAGGAAGAAAGAACAGGAGAAGAGGAAGAAGAGGAAGGAGTTGTTCCTGTTCTCAAGGAGCTTGTTCAAGGGTTTCCCATGAGCAACCTTCATAATCTAAGAAAATTCATTAGGAGTCCTGATCTCCTAGACCAATGGGAGAGTTCCCTCTCAGCACCTTCTCTGCTTCTATTTTTTTCTTTTTTGTACTAGGGATTGTGCTCAGGGGTACTTAACCACTGAGCCACATCCCTAGCCCTCTTTCTAATTTTTTTACTTTGAAACAGTCTTGCTACATTGCTTAAGGCTTCACTTAGTTGCTAAGGCTGGCTTTGAACTGGCGATTTTCCTGCCTCAGTCTCCTGAGCTTCTAGGATTACAGGCATGCACCACTGTGCTCAGTCTTTACAGCCTCTATTAAGGGTATTCCTTACATCTTATTATAAGTGTTGTTACTGATTTCTCAGTCACTAAGTCATAAATTTTTTGATGTTAAGCATGAATTCCATTCACTCATAATACTGTATCTGAAGAACTCAAAATATGTTTGCTGATGAGTAAGTGACTAAGTTGTAATAAGCAAGTGACATCAAGGGCAAGGGCGTCTTTAGGGAAACATAATTATCAAATATCCTTTAATGATGGGCTAATAAGTTTAAGTGATTTGGCACGCACTGACAGTTGCCCACCTGAAGTCCTTCTCATGACTGTCCTTATTAACAGAACTGAGTATCCGCTTCTCAACAAAGGAGAATTTGCTCATGAACAGGATCAGTACTCCACAGGAGAGTTTCTGGAAAAGTTTGCTTAGCTCTAAAAAGACACACAAATAAAAGGTAATCTGTCATATTCCCTAAGATAACTAGGTCATATTTTGGGATAAGAGACAGCACTGCTGGAGGCTTTTCAAGAGGCAAGCTGGTCCAGGAAGTCCTCTCCCTGAGAGTGACAGAGCCAGCTTCTCCATGATGTTGCTGAGACAATCAATCAGCTATCCTCTGGAGCTGCCCCTTCCCAGATGTGTTGATATATGAGGTACGACTTTCCCTCACTGCTTATGTCACTGGGGTGCAGGTGTTTGTTACTCATTACTGAAAGCCGTCACCTTGCCCCAATCTTTGTTGTCATGTCAGGACTCCATGGGGTCAGGATTAGTTGGACCTTGATGCATTTTTCCCACTGTAAGCATCAATTTACTTACTTGGAAAATGAAAGAAATTAGGCTTTTATCATTGAGTTTAGGGTTACTGTCTCCTGTAGCCTGAAATCTTTTCCCTGGTAGCAATTCTTCTTTCTCCCCTTCTTCCTCCTCCTCCTCATTATTAATAATATCATAATCATAGTTTATGTAATTCTCCTAAATTCTTTAAAGAAAAGAGTGTTTTTCAACAAAGACGAAGGATATTTTTTTTAAGTGACTGAGAAATGTATTTATTACAGGTGTTCACCTAAGTGAAACATAGGGCCAAAACAGTCGCATGGGCTTTTTTACATACAATTACATTACTTTTTTATCAGGAACATTTTTTGATCATTTTTCTGAACATTTTCTGTATTCTTGAAAGTAGTTTTTTCAAGGAAGGAAGAAAGGAAAGAGTCTTTGATAATGCTTATTATACATCCATCAAGCATTGTTCTGAGACCGTTCACATGTGTTATTTAATGCTTTAATATTCATTAACACTAAAATTTGATAAAACTGGAAAACTAAAATTAAAAAAATCAATTGTTTGGGTGAGTGCAAAATAATTTATTTATTTATTTATTTTTGAGTTGGTCTTGGGGCTTTATTTATTTTTTTATTTATTTTTTTTGTCATTCTTTTTTTTTCTTTTTTTATTGTTGGTCGTTCAAAACATTACATAGTTCTTGATATATCATATTGACAAAGGATATTTTATATCTACATAGGCTACACTATTCTGCACAGAATGCTCGGAACACCATCTAAAGCCATGGCAGAGACTGCTTCTCATCCCTGTACAACGGTAATCCCCAAGTCTTTTCATGAGAAAACCCATGAGTTTTAGCTGCACATGTGGACATTCGGAATGGAGCCTGCCATTCCTCAACTTCCCTTTGAGCTAAGCATTGCCATACCATTACATTCTGGCCACTAGAATAACCAAGTGTCAACTATTTCTGTGAACCTCCTTCATATATTATCCTCTGCCCTTCTCCTTGAGGCTTCTCTTCATGCTTTAGTTGCTAACTAAATGCTGATGTGGTATTTGGAGCTCCCACCATCTTGAACCCTGAGAGCAAAGATTACATCCAAGGGAGGTAAAACTATGAGCTAGAAGGAATGTGGGTGTCAGGGGGCTCTGTGGAGAAGGGTCACCATCTTAACCATGACTACTTCACTTCTGATCTGGGAGAATGAGGCTCTGAGAAGTGGTAAGGATCAGCTGAAAAATCAGATATACCCCCCATTCACATACTGGCATCCCTTTTTCTGTTTTTTTTTTTCTTTTTAACTGCATTTGCATGAGACCTCCCTCCAGCCAGCCTTGCTGTTGTTAGGGTTTGGATATGCTCTAATTGCAACCCCAGAGTCCATTGGGATTAAAGGCTTGGTCCCCAGGGTGGTACCATTGCGAGGTGATGGGTCTTTGGGAGATGGGGCCTGGTGTGAAGTCCCTGGGCCACTCAGGGTATGCCCATTCTGGGGATTGTGGGATCCCAGTCTTGCTTTCTCTCTGACCATCTCCTGTTTGGCCATGTAAGAGTTTCCCCATACATGGTAGAGTGTGCCTCCACCATGACACAACAGTAGCTGAAAGGGCCTTGGCTAAAACTGAACCCAGCAGGTGCCATTCCTCTGAATGTCCAAGGCTGTGAGCTCTATAAACCTTTTCTCTTTATAACATTAACTGCCTCTGGTATTTCACCGTAGTAATAATGCAAACCTGACTCTCACCCACCCTGGCTCAATGTCATGCACAATCAGAGCAACAATCCAGCCTTTTGGCCTCTGAACTACCCTGACAGTTGGCTATTAGATAAAAAGTTTCCTTTATAAATTTAAGTGGCCTTGTCTGGATCAATCTTCACTCTCAAATTCCTTGTGCTCCTGCCCCCAATCGGTTTGATAACATTCATGTAAAGAAACTCAATTTTGGGAGGCACAACCACCCTTCACCTCCTAGTCTCTTTCTAGGGGATTTGGCTAACAGTTTTGCAGATAAAGGGACTCCAGAGAATCTTGTGAATTTTTCCAAAGTCATTATAAAATCAGAAAACAATTATTATAATAAATTAAGGTTGAGATGCTGTTAAGAAAGGAAGTAGACAGTGTTATGTTCCTAACAAAGAAAGTCATTTGTATAAATCTCTTCATATCACACAGTGATTCATTTGGTTATGGTATTTCTCTTATTTTAGTTTTGTAGCTTTTGGCTGAACTACTAAACAGATTAGGAAATGGACAAATGCTTACAATGTGCACACAAATCACATAATATGTTTTAAGGGGATATATGTGTAATGCATAGTCAAAACCCTATCATCACAATTAGTGGTGGGGATAAATGTTTCAGGTTATAGCAGGGTTTAATGGCTTTTGGCCAGAATACAGACAGACACAGATGTGTTTTAAAAGCAAAGAAAAAAAGAAGAAGAAAAGAAAGCCAATATTTTCCCAGAAAGTGAAATTTTCTAAAAAGACAGGGCTTATAGGTCCAATATATTTTCTGTAGAAACACCTGATAAAGTGAACAAGAAATTTCTCATCTGTAACCACTTTATAGGACATTAATTATAAGGCAAGGATCAAAAAGACGGTGGATCTATTCCTGGGTCACTAACTAAAAGTTTGACATACGTATATGGAATGACGTACGTATATGAGATAATCTGAAAAAACTACAAAATACCCTAGGGCTTTCTAAGTTCACACAATAGCCTTCCCAAAGCCTTGTTTTCCTGTGGAATGTGAGGGACCCCCACACAGTCACTATTTTCTATATGAACAGTACAGGATCTGATTCTAGTCACTGACTCAGGTTTGGTCCCTACTATGGAAGAACTGGAAACTAGTCATGAGATGAGTCTGTCCATGCTTTAGTTTGTTTTCTAGAAAATGCCATCATCTAATAACAATAGCAGACTTTCACTGAGCTCATACTGTGAGTAGGCACTTTTCTAAGCATCTCATTTAATTCTCAGTGAAAAGGGTGTTATTATTATCCTCATTTAGGAGAGGAAACCCTCAGAAAATAGCTTAGTCCAAGACCAAAGAGCCAGAAAGCAGAATCAAAATTCACTCAGAGATAGTCTGAATGCAGAGGCCAAGGGAGCTAAGAGAGGACAGCATCATAAATGCTTGCTCTTCTTAAAATTCTTCTCTCTAGAATATTCTCATTCCACCCCCACCCTTCCCCAAAATACAGGTAGTAGAATCTTGTCTTTTATCTGTAGGATACAATGCCATCAGAGTTTGGAAATACTTCCCAGGTCTGCCCTTGAGGTTCACATTGATAGACCTCTCTGAATCCAGCAGAATACCTTACACAAAGAAAATTAATAAGTTTTGTTGATGGTAAAGATGAGCTTCAGCAGGAATATTTAGATCCAGGCAGTGTGCCTGGCACACAGGAGGCGCTAAAGATGGGTCTTTCAAAAATTGAAACATGGGAGGTAGGTAAGAAGGAAAGACTGGAGGAAGGGAAGACAAAGGAGAGAAGAGAAAGCAAAGAAGGAGGCAGAGAGAAACAGCTGGAAGGCAGGAGGGGGAAGAAAGGAATAAAAAAGATGGAAAGGAAGAACAGATGGCAACTGTATTTGTGCATATGCAAAGGTCATAGGCAAGCTCCAGGTTTGCCACTTGAATACTATGGTGGATTACTGTTGAGTACTGAAGGGTTTACAAAGCCATGAAGAGGTAAAAGGAAGAGGGTCCTGGATACTCTCTCCAGAATTACACTCGTTGCCATCTACTAGGTCCCAAACTGCTATATTTACTCCTTCCAGAAAGGAAAAACTAAGATCTTGCATTGGAGAATAAATGCATCCGTCATCCATCATTTGGTTTGAAATGGAATAACCCTCCCTTTGGCTCTACCTAATGAGGGGAAGGGGCTTGAGACTGTCAGCCTATCCCATTTCTCAAATCAGAGGTCACCCAAGGTACAAACCTCAACAAAATCAAGATTTAAGGTTAGGTTTTTAGTTTCTTTTTGGGAAAAAAAAAAAAAAGAGCTTTGTCTTCCATCCCCATAGACAGAGTGGTTCATGGTCTGAGGTCTAGAAATCCTACAGATACTAGCTACCTAGACTCTGGCCTAGAAAGGCAGAGGCAAGGAGCCTGATGATGAGAATGACACCTTCTAAGGCAGAACAGGTGAAGGGAAATCTCCAGGTCAAAAATTAGTAGCATTTGAGCTTTACTATTCAGGTCCCATTTCAGCTAGTTTTCTCGCATTCACTGCACAAAGATCCTGAGTGATACGATTTAAGTCCTGGTTGCAGATTTTGCATTCCCAGATACAGGTCTCAATATACCAAAGAGTTGTCCTCTGTGTTGGAATATAAACCACAGATGGAATCAGGGACTGTAAGAGTTTGGAATTCCAAATGACAAAGTTGAACTTCAGGCAGGAACATGATCAAAGATGAGATGAATGGCTCCCCAGGTCTTGACTCCACCTTCACCTCAGCGGCACGTAGACAGGAGCTGGCAAGTTTTATTTTTCTAGGCATGACGTCTTAGCGCCTACTGCTAACGCATTACTTACTAAAGGAACCCACTGTACTTAATCGATGTCTTTCATGTTTCAGGTCATCAGTGTCATCTGTCTCAGATTTAAAGCTCT